AAAAAAAAAGTCATTTTATGGGATGCGTTCAAAAGAGACATTTAAACATTTTCCTGAGATCGTTGCAAAAAAAAGGAAGATCGAATGTCTGCCTTCCACGACAGGACAGCATTCAGGTGACTTACCTCGTCCTGAATTTGAACCAGAAAGAGAGCAGGGCCTCCCCAGTCACGGAGAAGAGGGGGCCCGACCCAGTTGCCCCCACAGGACTCTCCACACAGTGCTCCAACAGTAATTGTGCTGATGGCTGGAACTCTTCTTTCAGGACCAAGTCTGTGCCGCACGGATCTGTCCAGCCTCTGCCTCGTCGCTGTCGGGTGCACGGGGCACGTGCGGAAATCACACACTTCCTAAGGGGGCCGGGGTCGCACCTCCTCTCCCGCACAGCTGCCCTCTCGGACACGCCCGACGGAGCCTGGCTGTGAGTCTTAGCCTGCCCGACCTCTCCCGCAGGAGACCAGGCTCAAAACAGAGAGACAAAAACGCGGGGCACGTCCGCTCGCTGAGACACACGCGAAAATGTGATTCCGACCCGTCTCCTGTAGACGCTGGAGAATTCTGTCTGGAAGCCAGTCTCCTTTCGGATACCATTGCATTTGCCAGAGAGCATTTGTCACAGTGACCCAGGTGAATGCGACACGGGGAGGGGCTGTGTTCTCCCTTTGTTCTGGAAGAGGCATATAATTTTCGAAATAGTCTATTTTTTGTCTTAGCATGTAATTATACAAAAATCATAGTTCTCTAACCCCAAATATTACTTTATCATTTAGTTAAAAATTTTTTTTTAATGTTTTATTTATTTTTGAGACAGAGAGAGACAGAGCATGAACAGGGGAGGGGCAGAAAGAGAGGGAGACACGGAATCCAAAATAGGCTCCAGGCTCCGAGCTGTCAGCACAGAGCCCGACGCGGGGCTCGAACTCATGAACTGTGAGATCGTGACCTAAGCTGAAGTTGGACGCTTCACCGACTGAGCCCCCCAGGCACCCCTATTTTATTATTTAGTTTAAATCATTGACGAGCGAGAAAGATGGACGTGTTTAGTGTATAGATAATCATCTGTTAGAAGATACTGGCCCACGGAGCCCACGGAGGCATGGAAGCCAGCCGTCTGTGGCCAAAGACTGCCCTCCGGATCATCTCTAAAGGGGATCATC